TGGTGTGTGCTTCCTTGTGTCCAACTTCTTTGGGACTCTCTGAGCTTCCTGGTGTTCCTGGAAGTCTATTTCCTTTGCCAGATTGGGGAAGTTCTCCTTCATTGTGTTTTCAAATAAGTTTTCAAATTCTTGCTCTTCCTCTTCTCCTTCTGGCACCCCTGTGATTTGGATGTTGGAATGTTTAAGGTTGTCCTGGAGGTTCCTAAGCCTCTCCTCATTTTTTTGAATTCTTGTTTCTTCATTCTGTTCTGGTCAAATGTTTATTTCTTCCTTCTGGTATAAACTGTTGGTGTGAGTCCTGGTTTCCTTCCCCTCACTGTTGGTCTCCTATACATTTTCCTTTATTTCAGTTTGCATAGCCTTCACTTCTTCCTCTATTTTGTGACCATACTCAAACATTTCTGTGAGCATCCTGATTACCAGTGTTTTGAAGTCTGCATCTGATAGATTGGCTATCTATTCATTGCTTAGTTGTATTTTTTCTGGAGCTTTGGTCTGTTCTTTCATTTAGACCATATTTCTTTGTCTCTGCAAGCCTATTCCATAGTAAGGGGCAGAGCTTTGGATGATTGCCAGGGCAGGGCTACTGAGTCACTGTTTGTGGTGTGTATGTGGGGGGGGGTTCTGAGAGGAAACAATGCTGCTTGATCTGCTCTTGGCTGGCTTTCAGTCACTTTTTCTGCTCCCCACAAGCAAATTGGACCCTTCTGGTGCTGATTCCCAGGTGAGTTGTATTGTGTACATTCAAGGACCCTGTGGGTCTCTCCAAGGAACTCTCCGGTGAGGCTGAGAGTTTCTCCTGCCACCACAATCCCCACAGGTTTTTTCAGTCAGAGGTTTTGAGGCTTTATTTCCCTGCACTGGATCTCTGTGTTGCGTGGTCTGTCTTCACTCCCCAGTTGTTCCTTCCAGTTTATGCACACAGAAATGTGAGACCACTCAGTCCTCCAACCACCACCTTGCTACAAGTCCTCTCCACCCCAGCTGCCTGTCTCTACCTCTCCTTCTGGTCTTGATTAAAGTTTTTTCTTTAACTCCTTGGTTGTCAGACTTCCATACAGTTTGATTTTCTGGCAAGTATGGTCATTTTTTAATTTAAATTTGTTGTTGTCCTTCCGTTGTGTGAGGAGGCAAAGTGTATCTACTTACACCTCCATCTTGGCCAGAAGTCTGACCTATCTTTTCCTTTCTGGATGAGTCTGATTAAATGCTTATCAGTTTTGCTTATCTTTTTAAAGAACCAGCTATTCATTTCATTGATATTTCTATTGTTTTTTAGTCTCCATTTCAATTATTTTTCTCTGATCTTTATCATTTCCTTTCTTCTAGTTATTTTAGACAGTGATTGTTCTTTTTCTAGTCTCTTTATGTGCAAGATTAGATTTATTTGAGATATTTTGTTTTTCCTTCAGATAGACATGTATTTCTCATAGTATCTCTCTTAGGACTGCTTTGTATATGTTCCATAGATTTTGGGTCACTATGTCCTCATTTTCATTTGTCCCAAGGTATCTTTTGAATTATTCCTTGATCTCATTGTGAACTCATTTATTGCTTAGTAGCATGTTATTTAGCTTCCATTTTTTTGTGGGTTTTTTTTTTTCAGTTTTCATCTTATAATTGGTTCTGGTTCTATATCATTGAGATCAAAGAAGATGCTTGCTATGAAATTAATGTTCTTAATTTTTTAGACTTGTTTTGCAGCTTAAGATGCAGACTATCCTGGAAAATGTTCCATGCATACTTGAAAAAAATGTAAATTCTGCTTCTTTGTGGTAAAATGTTCCCAAAATATCTATTGAATCTATTGGTTCTAATGTACCACTTATAACTACTGTTTACTAGTTGATTATTTCTCTGCATAATCTATCTATTGATGTCAATGTTTAAGTTCCTTGTTATTATTATAATCCAGTCAATCTCTCCCTTTATATGTGTCAATATTTTCTTTATATATTTAGGTGCTACTATGTTTGGTGTGTAGATGTTTACAAGAGTTATGTTCTCTTGTTGGATTCTTCCCTTTATCATTATGAAATGCTCTTTTTTGTCTCTTGTTACAGACTTTGTTTTAAAGTCTGTGTTTCTGATATAAGGTACACCAGCTTTTTAAAATTTCCACTTGCATGACATATTGTTTTCCATTCATTTACTCTCAGTGTGTTTGTGTCTTTCAATCTGAAATTGGTCTTCTGTAGGCAGCATATGTACAGTTCTTGTTTCTTTTATCCATTTATCTACCCTATGTATTTTAATTGGAAATTTCAGTGCATTTAAATTTGAAGTAAGTTTTGATAGATATGTAGTTATTGCCATGTTATTGTTTTTTATTGTTTTTGTAGTTCTCTGTTCCTTATTCTCTTTCCCTCTTTTCTTATAGGTTAATGTCTTTCTGTATTGTTATGTCTGAACTCCTTTATCTTTTTTTGTATGTCTAGTATAGCTTTTTGGGTTATTTTTACCATGTGTTGCACATACACCAAGCTATGTTTATAGTAGCTTATTTTAAGTTTATGGTTGCTTAAGTTCAAACACATTCTAAAATAACTATAATATTTGGCAAAATCTATTGAGGCCACATTAGTTAATGAAATTATATAGGTTTCAAGGCTATGGCTCTATAATATATATCATCCTATATTGCATTGTGTTTACCACTCAAAGTCAAATCATTTCCTATCACCATATAATTAACTCCCTTTACTTTTTACTACACCCCCTCAATGCCCTTTATATTTGATAACCACCATACTGTTTTCTATGTCTATTAGTTTTGTTTTGTTTGTCTTGTTTGTTCATTTGTTGCTTTTAGTTTTGTATGCCATATATGAGTAAAATATGGTACTTGAATTATTTATCTGGCTTATTTAGGTTAGGATGATATTCTCAAGGTCCACCCATGTTGTCACAAATGGTAATATATCATCTTTTCTTATGGCTGAGCTGTATCCCATTGTATATATGTACCACACCTTTTTTTTAAGTTTGACTTTTTTCAAGACTATATTTATGTATTTTTAGAGAAAGGAAGAGAAACATCAATGTGTGATTGCTTCTCAAGCACCTCCTACTAGGGACCTGGCCTGTAACCCAGGCATGTGCCCTGACTGGGAATTGAACTAGTGATCCTTTGGTTTGCAGGTCCATGCTCAATCCACTGAGCTACACCAGCCAGGGCTGTCCAATCATCTGTTGAAGGACACTTCAGTCATTTCCATGTCTTGGCTATTGTGAATAATGCTGCAATGAACATGACTACATATATCTTTACAAATAGATGTTTTCAAATTTTGTGAGTAGATACCCAGAAGAGGGGTTGCTGAGTCACGTTGTAACTCTTTTCTTAATTTTTTGAGGAACCTCTGTACTGTTTTCCATAGTAGCTGTACCAGTTTACATTCCCATCAGCAGTGAATGAGGGTTCCTTTTTCTCCACAACCTCTCCAACATTTGTTATTACTTATCTTGTTGATAACAGCCATTCTAACATGTATGAGGTCATAACTAATTGTAGTTTTGATTTGCATTTCCTTAAAAGCTTGTGAAGATGAGCATCTTTTCATATATCTGTTGGCCATTTTTTATGACTTTTTGAAAGAAGTGTCTGCCAGGTCCTCTGTGCATGTTTTTAAAATGGGATTGTTTATTTTTTATGGCATTGAGTTGTATGAGTATTTTATTTTATTTTTTTAATATTTTATTTATTTTTAGAGAAAGGGGAAGAGAAGGAGAAAGAGAGGGAGAGAAACATCAATGTGTGGTTGCCTCTTATGAGCTCCCCACTGGGGCCCTGGCCCACAACCCAGGCATGTGCCCTGACTGGGAATTGAACCTGAAACCTTTTGGTTTGTAGGACCGCACTCAATCCACTGAGCTACACCAGCCAGGCTTAAATACATTTTGCATATTAACCCCTTGTCAGAGCTATTCTTTGCAAATATCTTCTCTTATTCAGTCGGTTGCCTTTTTGTTTTATTGGCAGATTCTTTTGCTGTGCAGAATCTGTTTCGTTTGATATAGTCCCTTTCAATCTTTCTTTTGCTACCCTTGCATTTGACATCAAATTCATAAAGTATTCTCTAATACCAAGGTCCACAAGTATAATACTTAATGTTTTCTTCCATGTAATTTATTATTTCAGGTGTTTGATCCATTTTGAGTTAATTTTTGTATATGATGTCAAAAAGCAGTCTAGTTTCATTCTTTTGCATGTGGCTTTCCAATTTTCCCAGCACCACTTATTGAAGAGGCTTTCTTTTCTCCATTGTATGTTTTTGGCTCCTTTGTTGAAAATTATTTGCTCAACTGAGTATGAGTTTATTTCTGGATTCTCAATTCTGTGCCATTGGTCTCTCTGTCTGGTGTTCTGCCAATACAATGCTGCTTTGATTATTGTTGCTTTGTAGCATAATTTGAAGTCAAGGAGTATGGTTCTGCTGGCTTTGTTCTTTTTTCTCAGAATTGCTTTGGCTTTTGAGTTCTTTTGTGGTTCCATACAAATCTGATGATTTTTTGTTCTACTTCTTAAAAAAACTGTCATTGGGGTTTTGATGAGGATTGCATTAAGTGTGTATATGTACAAGGTACAAAAGACGTGATTAGTAAATGATTTACTTGAACTATGGAGGTCATTTGAATGTTTATTGCAATAACATTATTAAAGTAAATAGATCTGATGCATCCATGTTGAGAATTCAACCAAGTCTTTAATTAAAAAAAAGCACACACTCAATTTGCAGCTGCTAAATGTTTATGTGTTCATTTTGAACCAACAAAATATCAGAAAAATTTTCTCTTATCCCCAAATGTTATTCTTTTATTAATATCACCACCACCATCTTTTCCCTTTCTGGATGTTGCTTCTTCCTGAAACTGCAGAGTAGAAAGCTGGCCTTTTCCATCTGGGAGGCTGTCTGGGGAGGGAGCCAAGTATGTCATAGCGGGAAGGGAGGGTCTAAAGGCTTCCTAGTATTAAAAGAAGAAATCTAGACTGAGCATCAAAGCGCACAGCAAAGGAGAGGGAAGAGAGCAGGAGGGCACTTCATAAGCTGAGCCAAGCCTGCAGCGAGGCAGAGAGGGGCTGAGGCAGTGCTTGGCAATATTCGAGTAGCTGGAGATTCAAGGTAACTACTCAATTGATCCCCTTATCTTTCATTTCCAGTTCACTGCCTCTGGAATTCAGGAGTTTCTGTATTTGAGCTGGGGATACACATGTCTCTGTGTGTTCTTTCTGTGTACTGAGAGAGGACTGCATGTGAAACCTGCCTAGAGATCCAAAAGCAAGCAAGTTTCGTCCCTGAAAGGGAATTCTGAAAATTCAGAGCATCTTTCATTTGGTTATTTTTTATTTGCATTTTTAAAGCATCTCTGTACTAGCATTGTTTTTTTTATGAGCAGAGAAAAAGCCATAGGTTCAAGTTACTAGTAAGGGCTGGGAATGCTGCTGAGGATTTTCCCCTTTAAGTAGGACAATAAAACTATTTCTTAATTCTTATTTAAACTTGCTTTTTTCCTTTTGCTTACACTTCCAGTTCAGCTTTTACCTACTTTGCTTTCTCGAATCTCTTTGAAATAGAACAACATAGATGTGGGAACCACGTTTCAAAATCATATCAATGTGTTCATTTTTATAAGTGAGTGTATTTTTAAGACAGGCTGGCCAAAAAGAAGAGGGATTGTGAGGGAGAGGGAGAGAGAAGAGAGGAAATATTAGGACACAAAGATATCAGGTTTAATACAATTGGAAATTGATAATTTATAAACTATCTGATTTCCTTAGAAAAATGCTTCCATATCATTTTCAGGTATGCATCAGGGTTTTTTTTTTTCATATATTTCACTTTGTTCTTCTTTTAAAAACACTGCATCTTGGTTGCAGGATTCTTTGACTACAGATAGCAAGTGATGCACGAGCTACTTTCTCTAGTGCCTTTGAAACATTGAAATGTAAAGTTCAGCTCTTCCTAGCTTGCAACCAACATACAGCTGGGTTGAACATTTTATCTTCTGATTTAAACTATTTACATTTCACATTCTGTCTTTTAACTTCCTCCTTGCAGAGACCTTTATTTCTTTGATTTCCTAGGGCAGGTAACCACAAGCCCTTATCAGCTTGAGGTTTATGTGCAGAAGGAAAAAAAAAAGAGATGTTAAAATGTTACATCCCAAACAAGCAATTAAAAAACTGAGGAATGGTTAGATTAAATAGACTTTTGTTGTTGTTGTTGTTCCCTGTTGAGCAAGCTAGCCGAACAGGAAACCCTGGCATGTGGAAGGGGGGAAAGGAACATATCTAAAGAATTTTATATGCGAAAGATATTTTTACATTGCAAATAAATGTTCCTGTTTGGGAAATGTCCTTCCTGACTTCATTTTTTGTTATTGGGAAAACGACTTCTATTTTTATTTATTTAAAATTACTTGAAATTCCTAGTTATCAGGAGTAGTCTTATGAATTACTTTCAGAGTAAAATTTGTATTTATGTTTTCAAATATGGTTTTGGTTGTACCATAGGGACGTGTGGCAGTTGAGGATCTTCTGCAGTTCTAGTCCTAAATTTTCCCCTTTTGACTTCTTCCTACAGAAATAAAGGTTCAATCTTTAGGATTTAACTAAAACTCCTACTCTAATGTGAGAGGCAAAATAGACTACCCACCTTCACCTCTCAAGCTGAATGTGACACACTGGGTCATAGGATTTTAAACCATCAGTGGACTTGAGCAAATGAAGTAACTCTAAAACATCAAGAAAGAAAAACCTGAAACGACAAGGTATAAACATTACACTACTATTTTTCACCTGCTTAATTGTGTTATAAAATGATCTTTTTGTACAATGGAGAACAACTATCTCTGACCTTTATTATTGTTGTTAGAGGGACTATATAACAGTTTTCTTGCATTCAGAAATCTTCAAAATCTAACATATCCATATTTATTGTTTATATACTCATACATGTATTTAAAATGAATTTCTATAAATGTATTTCTACTTATATAATGTGGGATTGTGAAAGTAATGAAATTTATATCACATTTGTTTGTTGGTGGTTTACTCATCATTCACTGATTGCTTACTATAAGTTTATTACTTGCTAAACTCCAGAGATTTTTAGGTCAAGATTACTAAATATCTCAGAGATTATTTGGGACAACAGTATAAATAATGGTGTGTTATATTATAAGTGCTCTAAGATATATTTCCAATCCGAAGCAAAAATAAAGAATATGAAGGATCGAAGTGGCAGTTCAAAAGAATGTTTTATGTTATCAGAATCTTAATGGATCACTATAAGACTTCTAGTACCACAATCAACTGGTGGATTGCAATCTTTCAATGACTGTCCCAAGATGTGCTAAGGGAGTCAATATAATCAAACATCCATTAAGCACTTACTATATGATAGGCATATCATATGTGTAATGTACTTGTGTGAAGTACATTACATTATATATCATTTCCTCCATATCTTGTGAATCTTTTGTTATATCCATTTACTGGATAAGAAAACTGAGGCTCATAGAGAATAAGTAATTTGTCCTAAGTTACCCAGCTAATAAATGGCAGAGGTGGGATTCAAACTCAGACCTTCCTAAACTATACTATGTTATAATATTTATCAAGAAGCCACAGGGAGGTTGGGGTAGGAAGAGTAAAAGAGCACATTTCAGGCAGAAAGAATCCTAGGTTAAAGCAATGTAGACATAAAAAAGTGGATGAGTCTGGTGAACTAGATTTAGATTCAGTAGCTAAAGTTTATAGTCATTTTGGGGGTACCAACAGAAAAGATAGTTGAAAGAAAACCCAACAACAAGGCAAAGACCGGTATGGAACTTTTCATATACTTTATTTAATATGTTTGAACTTCAGTCTCTACACTTTGAGAAACCTTTGACAGTGTTTATGCAAGGCCATAATCAGTTTTACATTTGAGAAAGATAATTCTAGTTATAGTGTGAACAGTAGATTAGTAAATGGAAACTAAAAACACTAATTTGTATGAGGGATTATAATGAACTGTGCACCTGCTTATTCCTTTGAGAAATGTGGATTGCAATAGTATTTACTTAATTAGATTGTTAGAAATATTAACTGAGTCATCACATTAAAAGAGATAAAAAATTGTCACATATATGTTTCACAAATATTAATTACTGTTATTATTTTACCACTACTACTGTTACAATATTATGAAAAAGAATAGGAAACTAAAGAGTAAAAAATAAAATGAAATTTTCAAGAAAAAGATTTCTATACAAATCTATTTACATAGAAGAGAGGGAGGTTAATTTTAGTTAGACTTGAATTGGTCCTTGATGTCAAGGAAATGGAATAACACTTTCCAGAAGGGGAAAGGTATGGGCAAAGGCAATATATCATGGGCAAGCAATAATACCTACACCATTTTTATATACATAAAGAAGTCTTGGAAGATACAGTCAATTAAAAACATGGACATTGGAGTCCCACTGCTAGAGTTTGAATACCACTTCAGACATTTGTTGGTTTCACATTAGGCAAGCTATCGTTTTTTTTCTTTGGCAAATAAGGATAATGTTTGTATCCACTTTATGGCTAAGAACAATGCTTGGCACATAATATGTCCTTGTAGTGTATTCTTATCATTAAAGAGAGGAAAGAACTAGTTTATAGATAGGTTTGAGTCCCACAGTAAGGGTTTTAGAGTTGATTTTTAGGCAAAATAGTGTCACTGACAATTTTTAAACTGAGAAAAAGGTTATTATAACAATTGATATGGTAATAGAATGTAGGATATTTTTTGGAGGTGGGTGTAGGGTGTAGGGCAGATGTGATTGGATCTCAGGTAGAGATGAACATATCAATTCAGATGTTCAGGTTAATTAAGGCAGAGTGAAGAATAGAAGTGGTGGTTGTAATAATGTGTATGCAAGAGACATCATAAAGGAATAATTTCTGTGTCAGTGAGGAATACACTTAAGGTAGATGAATAGGTCAGTAAGATGACTCTAAAGTTTCTAAATCTCCAGGTTGAACGACTGGAAAAATTGTGATATTACTGACAGGAAAAAGTCATAAAATATGACCTGTTTAGGCTGGAATATAAAGGCAAAATAATTATAGTAACTCAGATTTTAAAAACACTTTCTCGTATATGCATGTGTTTTGGAAAATGCTGAATTCAAGCTACTGCTGGCACATTCAGCAAGCAATTGCCAACAGCAAGCTGAAGTTTAGAAGTAGGCTAGCATTCAGTAACCACAGTGAATATAACAGTTGGAAAAGCTTAAGAGGATAACTTCTATGAGGGAGAGATTAGACAGCAAAAAACACAGTTCTGAGGCTTGCACAGTCACAGTTTAGGATGGTTTGAGAAGAGATAGAAGCTGGTAACAGATGAAATTGGAATGGACCATGGGGTAGGAAGAGGTTCAGCAAAATCTAATATAGACAATAATGTTGACTTACATACAGATAAAGAAGAACGGGAAGCAAAGAAAGGTGATGAGCATACCATGTTTTATGTTGGAAACATTGGACAGTGAGAAAGCACTAAGTTATGGTCTTACAATAGTTGCCTATTTTTTTATTTTATAACTAATGTTCTCACACGGCAATGAGGTATCAATTTATACTGGTAGAGTAGCAAAAATTTAGAAATCTAGGTAATGCCAAAGTATGGTGTGGATTTGAGGATTAATTAGGAATGCAGACAAGGGACATTTTAGAGAACATGTCAGGACTTAGTCAAATTAGGTATATGCATACAATGTGACTCAGAAATTCATTGCTGGATATATAGCCTAAAGATGTTCTCTCAGAGGTTCTTAGGAAACAGGAACATAAATTGGAGCAGAGGGTTAGAGGCAATCTGAGTGTCAGTCACTGGGAGAGTAGATAGTAAAACATAGTAAATGCATACCACAAAGTATTATATCACAATTAGAAGCAAGAGATTAGGTATACACATAGCAACATGAAGAAATTTGAACAATATAGTGATGAGAGTGAAAAATGTATAAATATGTATAAATGAAGACTGAAATATATAATACAATAACATATACATCCATTTAAAACAACAAAATTAATTATTCAAGAGTACATTTACACAGAAAGATGCATGCTAAATCTATCAGAATGACAACCTATGGTGGGACCAGGGACAGGAAAGGGAATGGACTGTGAAAGTAAAATAGAATAACCAAAACAAAAAAAACAAACATCACAAGAAAAGAGGGCCCTGTATGGACTGTGATAACATGCCATGAATTGAGCATTGTGAGTATTTGATTCACCTAACATTCAGAAGGACATTAAAATATAATTGCAAAGCAAATTATGTATGATTTTTCTATCCTGCCATTTACAAGTTAAAAATAGTTTTAACTATAGATTTGCAAAAAGTTATGGTTTGCTTAATTTTCTTGGTATGTAGTATTTATGAGTACAAAAAAATTGTTTCAAAGTAGAATTCCCATACTGTAAACCTTTACTTAGAACCAATGTCTTTTGCTCCTGCAGATCAATATGGCCATGCCTGAGAAATCAAGCTGTACTAAACCAAGTGAGGATTTCAGTCATTTCCCTGAGATTATTGAACTCAACGTGGGTGGTCAGATGTACATCACTCGCTATCTTACTTTGGTTAGTGTTCCTGGCTCCTTGCTCTGGGAAATGTTCAATGAAAAGAATCCTTGCTCCCTAGCCCAGGACAACAAAGGGAGATTCTTTGTAGACAGAGATGGTTTCCTCTTTCGTTATGTGCTAGACTACATGAGAGACCAGAAACTAGTGCTTCCTGACCACTTTCCAGAGTGTGGTCGGCTCCAGAGAGAAGCAGAATACTTCAAACTACCAGAGTTAGTGAAGATGTTGGCTCCTAAAATCAATAAGGTCAAGTCATTTGGCAATGATTTTTGCCAAAGTGATGTAGAAGAGCTTTCCACCAACATTGACATCACATGTAATATCTCTTCAAGTAATAACATCCAAGTTAGTGGCCCTGATAACTCCCCAGCTCTGACAGTAAACACTGGTTCTGACCTCAAGAAGGCAGGTTTCATCACTATTGGCTATCGAGGCTCCTATACTCTGGGTAGGGATAGCCAAGCAGATGCCAAATTCCGCCGTGTGGCCCGAATCATGGTGTGTGGTAAGATCTCATTGGCCAAAGAAGTATTTGGAGATACTCTAAATGAGAGCAGAGACCCTGACCGTCCTCCTGAGAGGTACACTTCTCGATATTACCTCAAATTTACCTTTCTGGAACAAGCCTTTGATAAATTAGCTGATGCTGGCTTTCACATGGTTGCATGCAACTCCTCCGGCATCTGCACTATCACCCATGACCAAACAGATGACAAGATCTGGACCTCTTACACTGAATATGTTTTCTGCCGGGAGTGACACTGAAAAGAAAATCACCCAGAAAGTACAAAGAAAACAGCCAACTTTCTCTCCCTTCTGTGTTCCTGTGCCAACCATCCTTTTTAGAAATAAATATGTTATTTTTGGATCCATTAACTCTTGGACAATGCCATTCCCTTCACCATAACCAGCTGAACCTTTTTTGGAGACTTTCTTCTTATATATTCCATTCTATCGGGCTTCCAACCTACCTTGGATTGTGGAGTTGGATGTCATTTCAGGAAAAGTATTCAATGTGTAGGCATATGTGCATGCACAACACTGTAAGTATTAGAGATGTCTTTGTTCAGTGAATGCAGTTAGATAAAACCACAGGATTTAGTTAGTTAAGAAATGTTAAGCCATAGTTTCCAAACTAGTTTTCAACACAGTATCTTGTAATTGCTTGCATACTTTGTTACCTGTACTCTCTTAAGGAAAGCCCCATGTATACTTATGTTGAACTGGAGTCCCCTATAGTAAATGTGAATATGCTTTGTAAACTATTATTGCTATTCTTTTTATCCAGACAGAATGGAAGAAACTGATGGGCATCCTCCTAGGAGGTTCATAGGAAGGTCAATCAATTCTAAAATTATTGATTATTCTTGTTAGAAGAAGGATGTAAAAAAGCAGCCAACAATGCCAAGAATAAGAGGCTTAGTACTTGAATTACATCATGACTATTACACAGGCATAGGCAGGTATGCCACTTTAAAAGACTGTGTTAAAATATTTTTTTTATTAATTAGAACTGAAACATAAGAACATGTAGCTAAGGGAAGTTTAAGCGAATAATTGCCGTTTTCAAATAACATATGTAGTAGTTTGATTTTCACTAAGTCAAACAATTGGATGTATGTTAACTCTTAACTTATGCCAGACTACGTGTGTGGGTGTGTCTTGGGTGGCAGTGGGAGAAGGAGGAGGATGAAGATGAACAAAAGGGATTTTGAAAAAAGGAAATAAAAGTTCATCTTCTAAAATCCATATAAATGACTTTTGTTACATGGATTAAAAGAAAAATCTTCATATGAAAACACCAGAGTTTGATACAATGACACAAATGATTGGGTTGCTGGAGAATACAAGACAAGTCAAGAAAAAGAAACTTCAAAGGCTCATTTAAAAAAAAACCCTTTATCTCTTCTGAGTGGCTTTACAGTAACTCAGTGATCAAATGGCCTTCTTGTTTCTTTATTCCTTCTTTGATGCCTCTTATTTACCCCATGTCTCTATTGCACTTAATATCTTTTGATTTGGTTCCTAATCGGGACTCGGGGTTTCAAGGAATTAAAACCCATTCAATGTGTCTTGAGAAAAATAAAAAGTACATGTATAAGAGGTGTGAGTCGGTGGACATTTTATAAATGCACCTGTCCTATTGAGTCCAAAGACAAAAATGGAGTCTGATCAAGTTTCAGATGTTCTCGGGAGATGTCAAGAACTGATGTTCTCTCTTGTCTGTCAGAGGCCATATGACTTTTCTTTTGATCATTTGAGTCTGTCAGCTCTATATTTTTCTCTCCACATCTTGGGGTCATCTTTTACTCAGTTTATATCTGCCATAGAACAGACATGTCAGCCTCTCAATGAGCATGAACTTCAGCCATTAACTCCATAGATAACTTCTGTAGTGACACCCTAATTCAAAATACCTCAATCAGCTGTGGCTTAACAGGGAGAGTCTGAATGGGCAGAAGGCATTGTGGGTGTGGGCAACCAAAACTCCAACATAGGACTGTTATCAACATTTCTAAATAAATTACTACCTGTGCCTGAAACAGTACACAATAAGTATATAACACGTAAAAGACTCTTTGATATTTCCAAAGGTCTCAGAGTCCAGATTGACTACTAATGGATTTTAAAATGTGGTCAGGAGTCATCATTTATGGTCTTCCAATCTAGCTTTGGCAATACCCTTCTGACAAGTTACTTCCCTAGAGGGGCAACATTTTAGATTCTATAGAGAGGTGTTTCCCAAACTCAGTCACTTGTGTACCATTTTCATGGCTTTTACCATGCCCTTATCCCTCGTGCACTTGTAATCTAATCTTTTTAAAAACTAAGCTAATAAGTTCACTTTTATTTTTACTTAAATACATTCAGTAGCTCTATTCCCTCTGACATATTTCTGGTATGCTCTAGGTGTTATTGGCTTCATTGTGCAGTAGAGAGGAAGCTATGTTTTGTTCTATGTCTTATGTCTACCATAGTTAATCCATAAGGATAAGGAGATATGCAATGGCAATCTGTTGCTTCATGCTTTGGGCTCAGCCTCCTAGAAATTCACTTAACCTGTTTTACAGAGTATTTGTAACCCCACTTACAACCAGGAGTACTGTTCTACTCCCTTTTATCCTGTCATCAATTTACTGTCCTCTTGGGTTCATATTAATTCCAAAACACTGTATTATTTGTTCTTTAAATTATAATTATATTAGTTCAATCAGATTGCTCTCTTATCACCTAGCAATAAAGTAATTGGGGAAAGACGGAATAAATTGTAATAATCTTTCAGGCTGTGTAGTAATTAAGAAGTTAGAATATAGGTGGTTTATAGGCTAAATAAGGGTATATCAAAATAGGTATGCAAATAATTACATATTTTTTTATTCGAGAGTCACTACTGTGATATACGTTCATAGATAATTGCTCCAACTGTACTTAAAATTATACATGACTTTCTATCAAGGCTGTTGTTGTTGGAAGCATCAGCAACTGAATCTGGTTGATAGCTGCAGAAAAGAAATGTACATAGTTCACAGGATTATCTTTCCAGAAATGCTGTGAACTAGTAAATTTCAGAACATCTTCAGAGGATACACAGCCAGAAACAATGTTCAAATTTACACTGCAGGACTAGTATTGTGATTCTTGGGCACTTGTGTTACTGCAACTTCTACTTTCTACACCAGTAGCACTGGACACTAATGTCACTGACTTTAGAACCTCTGCCACTGCTGATAATAATGAATACCATTATTCATCATCAGAATGAAGTCTGGGGCATCCCCAATTCTTCCTGGCACTGGTTTGTTGCTCAGGGCAAACATGTGTGTCAACACAATAAAAATTTAAGGTAACCTGGGAAAGCAAGTACCTAGAATTTTCATTTTTAAGTGGGAAGAAAACTCCTAAAATACAAGATTCTGCAAAAGAGGGAGGGTTTTTGTATGCTACATGGCCATAAAAGTGACAAATGTCTACTTCAGATTTAGAAGAATATTAACTGAAGTGTAAAAAATAAAAACAAACTGTATACTCTCTCATCTATATTGTGGAAACTTATACAATTGTAAATGTTAGCTGATGAGGATCATTTTTCATGCTTGTTTTCTTTAAAATATATTGTGAATGGTATTAGGTCTTTGAGTTACCTCTAAGAATTTGCAATAGTTTAACAAAAGTCAGATGAGAGACTACTTAATTGTTATTTCAGCTGAGTAGCACAATTACATTTTCACAGGAATATTCTAGGAGTCACTGTTTTTAGATAGCAGTTTTCAAACTTTTTAAGTAGAACTTTAAAGGAATAAATTTTTACTTGGAGCTCGGTTACATAAAACAAAAAAGTAACATGTACTACTCAGATAATATACAATATTTTACGTGTGTTTTTTTGGTGGGATCCCTGAAATAGATATGGGAATGCTGGTGCCTTATTGGATCATGATTTGGAAACTAATTACTTTGAAGTCAAAGAGATTAGTGCTATAAGAGAGAAGTAGAGAATTTGAGGTAATGTGCAGGGTCGACTTAGTGAAGAACTGGTAAGAAACCTTAATATTAGGTTTCCACAGTGAGAGAGAACTTTGTCATCAAAGCATTTAGTTTAAAGTTTCAAGGAGAAAACAATCGGTTTTACAATCAATAATTTGACTTACCCCTGATATTTACTTAATATTAACTCATGTTTAAGGTTTGGTTCTGACTGCTTTAATTCTGCTATTTCATATAATCTCCACAAAGATGTTAAGTTGGTACTGGACTTATGGTCAACATGGAGGCATAGGTAAACAGGGCTTGCCTCCTCGTACAATCACATCAAAATTGTCACTAAACTACAGAACAACCATCATTCAGAACCATCAGAAACTGAGCTGAATGGAAGTCTTACAACTACAGAATTAAAGAAGAAACCACATCAAGACTTGTAGGAGAGACAGAGACACAGAATGGACAGGGGGTCCACAATCACATTTGCTGTATAAAAATTGGAAGGAGTATCTCAGGAGCAAGGGGCCCCAGCCCTATAGTAGGCTCCCCAATCCAGGGTTCCAGTGCCAGGTGATAAGTCTACATAATTGCTGACTGTGAAAACCAGTGGGGATTGAGGCTGTAAAAGACAGAAACTGCTGGAATCCCATGTAGTTCTTCTTAAAGAGCCTGCATATGAACTTACTCAGACTCACTCCTTCAGAGGCCCAGTGTGGGGGTAGTAGATTGAAAGACACCAGAGACACACAGGGAGGACTGAATTGTCTGGCACTGGGGCAAAGGGTAGAGAGACAGCTTTCTCCCAGACCGAAGTGCTGGCAGAGGCCATTGTTCCCTTCCTGAGCTCTGCCCCCAACATAGCCACCAGGCAGCCACTATATCTGACACTCCATCAGCCTGGCTGACACTGTTTACCCCACCCTAGTGATTTCCTGAGACCTGGCCCCACCCAAGTTTCTGGCCCACCCAAATTGTTTCTAGTGTCTATTCCATATGAATGGCTTGTATTGGCCTATGCTTCAGATTTTCCTAAATTTTTCAAACAAGCAGCATCTTGTTTTAGCAAGCTACATACCTCTCATTAAGTTGCGCCAGGCCTGGCACTAGCAGAGGTCAGCCTTGGTTCACAACTTGGCCTCACTTGAGCACATTTAAGCCCAGTACAAGTGGCAGCCATCTACAGATTGCATTGTAGCTTATGCTGTGTGACCCTAGACAGAATACAGCCAGTGACTGACCTTTGACCTGACAGCAACAATCAAGGCTCAACTACAACAGGAGGGTGTACAGAGTCCATACAGTGGGTGCACCTTAAGTTCCCAGTGTGGATAAGAGGGGAGGCTGTACCACTGGACTTTACAGGACACCTACTGCATTAGGCCACTCTACTAAGCCTGGGAGATGTAGCAGCTCTACCTAATACATAAAAACAAACACAAAGAGGCTACCAAAATGAGATGACAAATAAACATGGCACAGATGAAAGAACAGAATAAAACTCCAGGAAAGAAGCTAAACAAAAAAGAGACAAACAATCTACTAGATGCAGAATTCAAAACACTCATTATATGGATGCTCAAGAAACTTAATGAGGACTTCAACACCATAAAAATCCAATCAGAAACAAATGATACACTAATTGAAATAAAGAACAATGTACAAGGAACCAACAGTAGAGTGGATGAGGCTGAGAATCAAAACATCAAATCAGTGATAGAACATAACAAAGGGAAAAAAACACCATGAGAATAACAAGAAGAAAAAAAGAATCCAAAAAATATGAGGATAGTGTAAGGAGCTTCTGGGTCAACTTCAAGAGTACCAACATTTACATCATGTGCTGGAAGAGGAAGAGAGTGAGCAAGAAATTTAAAAAAATAATGACAGCAAACTTCTATAACTTGGTGAAAGAAATAGACATACATGTCCAGAGAAGACAGAAAATCCCAAACAAGAGGAACCAAAAGAGGCCCACACCAAGATATATCATAATTAAAATGCAAAAAGTTAAGAAAAAGAGAGACTATGAAAAGCAACAGGAGTAAAGCTGTTAGTTACCTACAAGGGAGCTCCCATGAGACTGTCAGCTGATTTCTCAAAAGAAACTTCACAGGCTAGAAGGGATTGTCAAGAAATCTTCAAAGTGATGAAAAGCAAGGACCTACAACCAAGATTACTCTACCTAGCAAACACATAATTTAGAATTGGAAAGAAGATAAAGAGCTTCCCAGACAAGTAAAAGCTAAAGGAGTTCATTACCACAAAATCAGTATTATATGAAATGTTAAAAGGTCTTCTTTAAGAAAATAATAAGATAAAAATGTGAACAATAAAATGACAATAAATACATATCTATCAACAACTGATTCTAAAAAACAAAAAAATAAACGGAACAGAAATAGAATCATAGTTACAGATAATGTTTTCATGGCTGCCAGATGGGAGGATGGTTAGGTGGATAGGCAAAAAAGGTGAAAGGATTAAGAAGTACAAATAGGTAATTACAGAATTGTTATGGGGATGTAAATGAAGTACAACATAGGGAATAGAGTGGCCAAATAACTTA